GTCAGATGCTTTGCTGTTGAGGCGTTCTGACATGGAAGCCTTCCGATTGATAATTATGCCTTTCCCGTTGAACACTTCGAGCTCTCCACAGCCACATGCATCAAAGTGCTGTGAAAGTTACGACAGGCTTGCATGCCATGCTTGACACTTCCCGCCTTCACTGCTGTGCGTTTTGACGTTATCTAATCTAATCTTAAAGGAAGCATGATTGCCGAGCATCATCTTGGGTTTGCCAAGAGCCTTTCTTGTTCGGGGACACGAAGTCAGTTAGTGGCGCCCTGCCTGGTTTGCTTGGTGTGAGAGTCTTCTTGTAAGATTGCTGTGCAATTGAGGTGTCTGACATGGAAGCCTTCCGGTTGATATGCATGTCCTGCGCACATCTTGCACCTCTCCACGGCCACATGTACCGAACCGCTGTGAAGCCTCAGTCTGTTGTCCAGGAGGTGCAAGTTATGACAGGCTTGCACGGGTATGCCATGCTTGACACTTCCCGTCTTCACTGCTGTGTTTTTTTGACGTTATCTCATCCAGTCTCTAAGGAGGCATGCTTGCAGAGCAACCTTGGTTTGCCAAGAACCTTTCTTGTTGGGGGACACCAAGTCAGTAAGTGGCACCCCGCCTGGTTGCTTGCTGGCCGAGTGTTTTCTTGTCAGATGCTTTGCTGTTGAGGCGTTCTGACATGGAAGCCTTCCGATTGATACTTATGCCTTTCCTGTTGAACACTTGGAGCTCTCCACAGCCACATGCATCGAACTGCTGTGAAGCGTGCAAGTTAGGACAGGCTTGCAAAGGCATGCCATGCTTGACAATTCCTGTCTTCACTGCTGTGTCTTTTGACGTTATCTCATCCAGTTTCTAAGGAAGCACTATTTCGGAGCAACTTAGGTTTGCCAAGAACCTTTCTTGTTGGGGGACACTAAGTCAGTAAGTGGCGCCCCGCTTTTTTTGCTTGCTGGCAGAGTGTTTTCTTGTCAGATGCTGTGCTGTTGAAGCGTTCTGACATGGACGCTATCCGATTGATATGCCTTTCCTGTTGAAAACTTGGAGCTCGCCACAGCCATATGCATCGAACCGCGGTGGAGCCTCAGTTTGTTGTCCACGAGGTGCAAGTTATGACAGGCTTTCACGGGCATGCCATGCTTGACACTTCCTGTCTTCACTGCTGTGTGTTTCGACGTTATCTCATCCAGTCTCTAACGAAGTATGTTTGCAGACCAACTTTGGTTTGCCAAGAGCCTTTCTTGTTGGGGGACACTAAGTCTGCTCTAAGGAAGAATGTTTGCAGAGCAACCTTGGTTTGCTAAGTGGTGCCCCACTTTTTTTCTTGCTGTGAGAGTCTTCTTGTAAGATTGCTGTGCTATTGAGGTGTCTGACATGGAAGCCTTCCGGTTGATATGCATGTCCTGCGCACATCTTGCACATCTCCACGGCCAGATGTATCGAACCGCTGTGAAGCCTCAGTCTGTTGTCCAGGAGGTGCAAGTTATGACAGGCTTGCAAAGGCATGCCATGCTTGACACTTCCCGTCTTGACTGCTGTGTCTTTTGACGTTATTTCATCCAGTCTGAAAGGAAGCATGATTGCGGAGCAACCTTGGTTTGCCAAGAGCCTTTCTTGTTGGGAACCAAGTCAGTAAGTGGCACCCGTCTTTTTTTGCTTGCTGGCAGAGTGTTTTCTTGTCAGATTGCTCGGCTGTTGATGCGATCTGAAATAGAAGTTTCCCAATTGATATCCCTTTCCTGTTGAAAACTTGGACCTCTCCGCAGCCACATACATCGAACCGCTGTGGAGCCTCAGTCTGTTGTCCACGAGGTGCAAGTTATGACAGGCTTGCACAGGCATGCCATGCTTTACACTTCCCGTATTCACTGCTGTGTGTTTTGACGTTGTCTCATCCAGTCTCTAAGGAGGCATGCTTGCAGAGCAACCTTGGTTTGCCAAGAGCCTTTCTTGCTGGGGGACACCAAGTCACTAGGTGGCGCTCCGCCTGGTTTGCTTGCTGGCCGAGTGTTTTCCTGTCAGATGGCATTGCTGTTGAGGCGTTCTGACATTGAAGTTTTTCCGTCTCTATGCTTTTCGTGCACAAATTGGAGCTCTTCATAGCCACGTATATCGAACCGTTGAGAAGGCTCAGACACTGACGACACTTTGCTCTTGAAACGTGTCCAATCCATCCTCTGCGCAGCAAATGAAGGGCCTGCCAAAATTCCTTACAGTGAACAGTGTGAGTGACACCTGTCTTGCGATAGGTGTGTTTGTAGTCTCTGGAATTGAGCGGATGTATGTATTTTTGGCGCATCGATGCATCAATGGAACCGACCTGGGGCATTCGGTGATGCAACCTTCACAAAATGCACCTTGTGTCGAGATCCTTGGCATTTGAAGCCGAGGCCTTCTTCAATATAGAGCAGAACAGGATTCATGCTTTGCAGGCCACATGAGATATCAAAGCAAGCTTGGACAGGCTGAAGCCAATCTAACATTCTGAGAGGCACCCCAGTGAAGATGTTCAAGATTGTGTAAGCTGTGACAGGTCGGAGTGAATTGCACCGCCGGGCCGTCGAAAAGATTGGCACGTTGTCGACATGAAGCCCTGAACCTTCCCTCCTATTGTGCTTTGAGCCCTAACCCAAGCCCAACATGTTTGTGCAAATCACATTGATGGGTCAATTGTCTGGGATTCCACTGAATTTATAGAACTGAAGAGACTCTCATCGCATTGCTGGGCCATTTCAATGAAGTATTTAATATTACAGACTGGACTCTTGGTCATGGGTAAAACTGTAAAACCATAAACCAGAAGTCGACATTCTCTTTGTAAAGGACCCATTCTCTTGGGGGTTTTGAGTCAGTAAACCTTGAGGAATCGTCGCTCGACCGAACCAGTCGCTGTGTGCCTCGCAGCTTCTTTCCAGCTTCGAAGTCCCTAACTTTGGCCTAATCAGGTGCGCCTGGCAGTCAGACGGCGAGATACGGCAAGTCACCTAGAAGGGATGGCATGGAAATGAGACCGGTGGCCATCCCTGCTACGGGAGGCGCGACACTCATGGATACCACGGATGAGGAGGCCTCTTTGGCAAAGGACCAGGCCTGGCACGGCCTGGAACGGCGCATGGCTGCTGTTTTGTTTGCATAGGTTTGCACTGGAGTGCAAACCATCCATTGACCAACATGCACATGGAAAGTTTTTTTTTAATTAAGAGGAGAGGAGAGTGAAATGATGGCCAGCCTCTTTGTCACTGTCCATGTTGCTTGAAAAGTTAATATGTTAGAAAAAAAGCATGCTGCGATGCCTGCCTGCTTACACCGTAAGTCCTGAGCCCCCCAGTTGACCTTCCATCCCTGGCGGGGTACTTCAGTTTCATCTCGCTTAGCAAATGAATTGCGACTTTGATTAGAACTCCCATGTCTGTACAAGTGGAAGAAGTCATCCAGCTAAATCATCACTCAGTGACTAAGCCATATGATCAGCCTCCACGTCTTCCGCAGGAGACGGCACAGCCTCTGCCCCGTCGTTGGCGACTTCTTGTAACATCTTTGGCGCCACACGCTCAGGGGAGAAAAGCCGGGCACAGAGGGGGTGTCGCGTTCAACTGGCGTTCGTGCATGCACCATGATGACCATGGCTTAACACAAATCACACCATGGAGATGGAGATGGATGTTTTAGTTATGCACCTTGCCAATTCTGACAGACTGATCCACACGCCCACACATGCATGTCCAGGAAGTGCAAAGGGGTGTCAAATGGATTTGTGCTCCCTTATAAGTGTAAATTGGATATCTCCAGGGGCCGACATTTCTGTCCATTGATGTCGCCCCCCGCTAGCACAAAGTGTGACCATTTTTCCTGGCCAGAGCTTCACGTAGTCCTTTCAAGAACAAATCGAGCAGGATTTGCCAAAAAAAATCAATTTCCTGAAAAGCCGCAAAAGTGCCGGCAAACTATGCCAATAGTTTTCATGCTTAAGAATCAGAGCTATTTTGTCCACTTCAGGAGTTGTGCCAAAGTCAGAAGATGTCAGACTCAAAGATGTCTCTTCCCCAAGTCCTCGGCCAAATTCTTTGTCCTTTACATGCGGACTTGAGCACAAAACCCGGCATCAGGATCAAAAAGAAAAAAGAACATAATCAAAAAAAACAAACCTCCTGGCTCAAGCGCCACTGGGCTTAGGGAGTGCGGGCCCCGGGAACTGGCTGCTTCTCCATTGGAAGGGTCGGTTGCTACTAAGCGTGTCTTCGTCTGACCGCCCCGCTGCTGTTCTTGGATTCGTGACATGCTCTGTGGACCACTGCCCCTTCCTTTGGACATGACCGATCACGTGCTGCACAAGCTGGATCCACCTTTGTCTGAACCGTGTGCCTTGGAGGTCAAGGAGGTGTTCGCTCGACTGTGCCGCTCGGTTGAGAGCACCCTTTGCTTTGCCTGTGAAATCATCAAGATGGAAGATGATTGGTGCCGAGCTGCCTGACACCAGGATGAGGAAATTTATGGTTGGCTCGCAGTTGCAGGTGCTGTTTCCACGACGGGACCACTTGCCGTCCAGTTGTGCCCTTGTTGACCAAAGTGTTTTGGTGCCCATCCCCAACCTGGAGAAGTGCCTTTCTTGGAACATGGTTCACCTCTTTGCCGGGTTTTTCTGGGTGGAGCCATGCTACCTCGTGGCTGAATTCGAGTGGCCTCAACATTGGGATTGCGACGGAAGTTGCCATTGACTCCGACTGGATTGCTGCGGTAACCCTTGCCAAGACCCATGGAGTGCAGGTTCGTGGTGTGCCCTTTAGATCGGAGACCTCATCAGATGAGAAGTTTCGACTCTTGTGCGCGCCAGTTCAAGATCCTCAAATCCTTCAAGAAGTTTTCTTTTTGGACAGTGTTGCACTCACGATGTCCCCTTCATGGGAGGTAATGAATCCGGCCTGGAATCCATCCATGGGAGATCCTTTCTCCATGCTGTTGAGGTTGTTAGCCATCTCCAACCGCTTTTCGTGTCTGCCGAATGCGCGGACATGATTGTCAACCATGGGCATTTCAAGGCGATCATGCACGCTTTCATTGTCTTCGGCTACAAACTTGTGTGGTCCCGGGTTGTGCAGTATCATTCGTGTGCCCCCATGTATGGGACAAGGTGGCTTGCTACCTGTGTGAGGCAGGATGTTCCGGCCTTTAGCATGCAAGTGGAATTCGTTTGGCTCGACCTGGTGTCCCGGCGTGGACGTCAACCCTTTTCCAGTGCCGTTTGCCTCGATGCCTCTCGGATCAGTTGGTTCTTCCCGACTCCGTGCGTGCAATCTATGCTAATCGGGCCCTCCTGCGCAAGGCCAAAGCAGTTGGACTTCATGATCAGGCCACACCTCATGACATCTTGATGCGAAGGCTTCCGCTCCGTGATCAGCCTCTTCCAACTCTGTGCGCCACTTATTCGCAGCAACACCTGTTGGCACCAAGCCACTTGAAGCACAAAGGCATTTTTGCAGCTTTGGACTAGGGTGACGGCCTCTTTGCTTTTCATGATCCCCTGCGATACATTATCATGCTGGGGGCTACGCACCAAGTGGCAATCCCATCCAGGGCAATGCTATTGCCACGCCCCAGGCACTCCTGGCACTGCTGATTGGGTTCGCAGTTGTCACTGTTGAGGATTCCGTTGTTGCCCTCCGTGCGTCAACTATGGGATTCAGTCCCCATGGCGTGGAATTGAAGGAGACTTTATCGTTCTTCTCACCCCAAAGGAGCTCTCCCAACGAGTTCCGTTGCCTTGGCATGAACCTGGCGTTTCTGGCCTTGGTGCACATGATTTCACTGTTGGGATAAACTTGATGGACGGACTGCCTCCATCAGTGTGGAGGGTACTTGCAAGCTGTGTGAGATAGTTTGACCCCGTTGATGAAGTCCAAGACCTTGCTAATCTCTTTGAGACGTTCAATCAGCATGTGGGCAGTTGGAGGCTCTTCTTGCGTGGGGTCTTGCTTGCATGTCTTTGCGTTCAACCAGTTCCATTGCAGTCCGAAGACGCCCCCCACTTGAGTGAATTGGAGCCAGTTTGCGGGGCGCTGCCGGCCTTATCGAAATCAGCGCCTGGCAAACCGCAGCCCTCGATCCATGTGTCTCCGACCCTGCCTATTGATTACTCTTGACATTCATGAGGATGATGAAGACATCCAATTATATGGGTCAAACGTGTGAGGCTGAATGAGGCATGTTCGATCATTGAGAACCCTAGATTTGCTCGTGATGTTGACCTTGAGCAGCTTCCGGTGCGCGCCATTTGGAATGGGCGTTCACTTGCCGCTGGTTTATCACTGTTCGGAACTGCAAGGCCGCCCTTTGGATCAGCTTATCGACGCACAAAGGTTCCTGCTGATCACTTCCACATTTTGTGCGCGCCTGCCTTTTTGCTGTCTCTTGCCACTGACCGGGCCTCTAGGAAGCAAACAGTGATCATTTGTGAATCGAGCGGTCCTCTGCCGGTCACCGACGAGGTCACACTGAGTTCACCGTATACGTGTGAAGACTTCTGTAGGACTGTGTCACCTGCCACTGTGCTCAAGTTCCTGAACAACCGTCCCTTTGTTGCCGATGCCACACAGTTGCACCACTTAGACGTTGTGACGTACTCCTTTGCCACTGTGAAATCTGGTGGGGTGGAGCCAGAGATCACCGTGACTGTGCTTCCCTTACCCTTGCTGCGCCGACCCCCTGCGTCAGAGGCTGAACTTTGCGGCTCAGACGCGTGGATGGCTTGCCACAGATGAGTGTGCGCATGTTACAACTTGGCTGCGTTGGCGAACCAATGAGGTTCGGGTCCTGGACCCCTTGCAACGGACTTTTCAAGATGGGCTGATTCGTCCCCAGGGCTCTGACCCGCTCATTGCACCTCACCGGCCCACTTTCATGCCTGTCCTT